ATAAATAATGGACAGAATTTTGGAAGAAGGCATACGCTCCAGGCTCAGACAGATCCTCATGGGACCTTGCGCCCCACAGTCGCTAGACATGACTTCAGGCAAATCATATGACTTATTAATTCTCATTGTCTTCATTTATAAAAGGAGGGTAATATTGCCTTCAAGGACCAATTGACACAGGGCGATGGGAGTTGACTATGACCCTCCCAGTTCTCCATATTACAAGGAGTTTACAGGGAAGGGACCGTTAAGTATACTTGACGTGGTGTGATAATTGCTAGTAAGACAACCTGCCTTGTGTATCTGTGTGGGGCACTCAGGCTAATCAGCCGTGGGCAAACTACGGCCCACGGGCCAGATCCGGCCCGTTTGAAATGAATAAAACTAAAAAAAAAAAGACCGTACCCTTTTATGTAATGATGTTTACTTTGGATTTATATTAGTTCACACAAACACTCCATCCATGCTTTTGTTCCAGCCCTCCGGTCCAGTTTAAGAACCCATTGTGGCCCTCGAGTCAAAAAGTTTGCCCACCCCTGGGCTAAGTCCTATCATTTCTAGAGTTGAATGCTCACGGGCCAGGAGAAAAGAGCCCCCATGGACAAAGCATGCCGGTTTGGGGATCCGGGCCTTGCCACTTGCTTGATGTGTGATCTCAGATGAGTTAAGTTCTCTGTGCCTCAGTTTCCTCCCTGTAAATAACCATAGCTTACAATCGGTGAAGTACAGCAGTGAGCCCGTCGCATAGATTGTTTTATTTATTCCACATGACAATATGAAGAGGCACGTATTGCTATCATCCGGGTTTATGGATGAGGAAACCGAGGCACAGAACTCTGGCTTAACTTGCCCTGGACTGCAGCTGGCAAGTGACAGAATCGGGATTCAAACTCCCAACATCTGCTTCCAGACCCCACATATTGAAAACTTGACAAGGGTATTAAGATAATTGAACGAGACAGAAGTAAGATATTATTAAGATAACTAAATGGGGTAGATCACCCTGATAGAAGTATTACGTCATTAAATGAAATAAGGAACACAAGAGCCTAAGCTGGATTCGTGGCCCATAGTAAGCACTCCATAAACGGAAACCTAGCACTTACTGGTTTTCTCAGCCTCATCATACAAGCCTCTCCCCACCCCAGAGTTGTATTAATCACTAGGACAGATGTTTCACTGAAATTCACAATTAGTTTTTGTTGTTTTGTTTTCATCCAAAGACTGACATTTCCACGCTGGGGAACAGCCCTGTGTGCCACACAGCCAGTGCACCTGCAGGGGGCGCCACCAGTGGCTGTGGCAGCCTCCTGCTCACCTGGGCAGCCCACACCACGCCCCCTGATGGACACACCCTTGAAAGAAACACGCAGAAGCCAAAGGACTAAGAACACCAACTCACAGGTACCTTTTCAGACTAAGCTTTTATTTTTTTGATATTACAAACCAGTTTTCTTTATTCACAAACCACTGTAAGTGATATAAACACTAATTTCTAAAGACAGATATACACATTTTCTGGGTTTGCAGATTGCGTGATGTGTGTGTTAAGAAGTCACTATAGGCCACACATGATATTAATCTTTTTTTTCATAATTCATAATAGCAATAGTTATTTAGATAAATGAAAACATTCCAAATAAATACTGTTTTAAAAAATCCAAAATGTCTGTTTACATCTCTGACATACATTTTAAAATGACTTGTTGGCATCTTGGAGGAGTGCCTAGACAGAGATCTGCAACCTCAGTTGGCACCCACTTGCTCTAAATGATTTTATTAAAACTACATACAGTCATGGGGGAAAAGTACAGCTCATCAATGAAAATCAAAACTGCAAATTAATTTTACTTTAACCAACACAGTAAGAATTCTATGTTTGTGATTCCAAATACAATGCAAATTCTGGAGTGTGAAATTTGAGGCAATTGGGAGAAATCCATTTATTCTCCCTAGCCCCCTGTTCTTTCTCTCTCTCTCCCCTCCGGGGTAGGATGCCATAGTATTTTAAGAAATCGTTGCCTTTCAAAACATCAACTGTCATCACATTGCTTCCCAGGTGGGGGAATGAGAATGCCTTAGTGATGCTATAAAACACCCCTCTGCCCCTCCCCTCCCCCACCCAGAGAAGCCTGCTGAAAAGAAGATCTGATACGCTTTGGGCTGCTGAGCAGTTTCCCCCCTTTCTCTCTGGGTTCAAGACAACCGTCATCTGCCTTAGATAGCGAAGCTACAGAAACTTGGTTTTCAAATCTTGTGAAACTTTATTGATGGTTTAATATCCAACCGATCTTACTGCATGCACATAGGATGACAAGAATGCTGGATCACAAACACTTTTTTTTTTTTAAGTTTTGTTTGGTTTTGTTTGAAAGCAGAGTTGTTACAGCGGATTGGCAGGTTCACAGCGGTGAGTTGATAACTTACTAAAGTGCTTGCCAGACGGCCGGCACTGTACACATGAAGACTTAACTAGGGCAGCAAAACTACTGGGGACAGCTTGCTGCTGTTTGTTTCATTTAAATACAAAAACAGGAAGACCCGTGACAGATACCCCAACTCAGGTTAACTTGTAAACAGGACAACATGGAAGGCGTTCAAACAGAAGTAATCCGGACAAACTGCAATTTTTCGGCCGTG